TCTGCTTTCGGTCAGTCATCCATGCCCTAATCCACCGGACAGTGCTTTGGTGTATCCCAAAACTCCTCAGTTTCTCCACCAGGATATTTTGGGGCACTTTGTCAAAGCCCTTGCTGAAATCCAGGTAAACCACATCCACTGCATCCCCTCCATCTAGCCATCTTGAAACCTTGTCATAGAATTCCACAAGGTTTGTCTGGCAGGACCTGTTTTTGCAGAAACCGTGTTGTGTGGCTGTCAGCCTCCCTTCCCTATCTAGCATCACTAGATCTCTCTATTATGAGCCTTTCCATTGTTTTTCCTACAATGGATGTAAGACTAACCAGTCTATAATTCCCCATGTCCCTTCTACTACCCTTTTTGAAAATTGGGACCACTGATGCCCCCCTCCAGTTCTCTGAAACTTCACCCGTTCTCCACGAGGTCTCAAAAATGGAGGCCAGCAGGCGTGAGAGAACCCCTGCCAACTCTCTAAATACTCTTGGGTGTAACCCGTCAGGGCCTGGCACCTTTGTAATGTCCAATGCCCTGAGGAGCCCCTCAACTTCAAGGGGGGTGACTCTGTGCCCCTAAGTCCCCAGCCTCATCTAATCTCCTATGCGGATATCCCCCGTCCTGTTCTGGGGAGAACACAGAGGCAAAATTACCTTCAAAAGGAAGTCCAACTTCTTGGCCAACTGGATCAATTCATAGGATGAATATGAAAACATGTTCCCTCAGACTAGTGTGCTGAGCCTGATTGTGTCTACATCCAGCTTCTTGAGGAAGGAGTGACCAAGAAAGTATGAATGTGTACTTTGACATTCTGTACTGGTAAAGAAACGCATTTCCAGTTAGACTTGTGTGGCAAGGGTTGTTTGGAAACTTCTATTTAAAGGATGATTTATATGAGGCTAAATAAACTTACTCATAGAATCACAGAATAGTAGAGTTGGAAGGCACCAAGGCCATTGGGTCCAACCCACTGCTGTTGCATGTTACCAGTTTATACCATCCCACTCAGATGGCTGTCCAGTTTCTTTCTGAAAGTCTCCAATGTGGGACAGCCCATGACCTCTTGAGGCAACTGGTTTCACTGTTATATTGCTCTGACAGTGAGGAAGCATTTCCTCATGTCCAGCCTGAATCTGGGTTGTCATAATCTGAATTGATTATTCTGTGTCTACACTGGTATGAGAAAAGAGCTTATCCTTCCTCTTTGTGACAACCTCTGAGGTACTTATAAATTGGTATTATGTCCCCCTTCAGTCTTTTCTTCTCACAGCTGAACATACTCAGTTCTCTCTGTCTCTCCTCGTAAGGCAATGCTTCCAAATCCTGGATCATTTTTATTGCCCTTCCCTGGACCCTAATTTTTTCTGCATCCTTCTTAAAACTTGGTGCCCAGAAATGGATATAGTACTCCAGATGAGCTTGGACTAAGAGTATAGGAGAACTATTACTTCTCATGATTTGGAACTAACACTTCTATTAGTGTGTCCCAATATAGCATTTGCCCTTTTGGTGGGTGCATCACATTGCTGGCTCATGTTTAGCCTGTTACTGCAAATAACTTCATGGTCTTTTTCTCTTTCAGTTTTGTTGAGCCACATATACCCCATCTTGTAGATTCCTTTGGTTTCTTTTTCCTAGGAGGAAGACTACTATTTGCCACTATTGAATCTCATTTTGTTGCTTTCAGCCAAGCTTTCTAGCTTATCAAGATCGCCCTGGATCATTCTGTTTCCCAGGGTGTTTCACAATTCCACCCAGTTTTGTATCATCTGCAGATCTGATAATCATTCCTTGTACTTCCTCATCTAAATTATTAATAAAGATGTTGAACAGCACTGGGCCCAGGACTGAACCCTCTAACACCCCACTAGTTATCTTTGTCCAGTCTGAGAAGGTGCCATTGATGAGCACTTTTTGTGTCCGATTTAGCAGTCAATTTTGGATTCAACCAAACAGTTTTTCTATCTAGTCCACTTTTTGCTAGTTTGCTTATCTGGATGTTTAAAGCTTTGCTAAAGTCAAGGTAGGTTATCTCCACAGTGTTTCCATTGTCCATTTGGGAGGTTACTCAGTCAAAAAATGAGATTATATTAGTCTGACAGGATTTATTCTTGATAAATCCATGTTGGCTTTTATCAATCACTGCATTTTCTTCAAGGCACTTGTATACTGATTTTTTAATTTGCTCCAGAATTTTCAGGGAAAACTATAGACTAATGGGTCTATAGTTCCCAGATTCATCTTTTTTTTTCTTTTTTGAAGATGAGACAACATTAGCCCTTCTCCAGTCATCCGGCACTTCTGTATTCTGTGATATATTGTAGATAATAGACAGTTCCACTGACTTTAGCAAGGTTTATCTATGCCATCTGGCTGTTTAAGACTGTCTTGCAGATAATTTGTCAATGTCTAATGTGCAAGTGCAACTCCACCTGCAATATGCTGTCGGTAGGCAAAAGTAAAATATTTTGACTATTGCTAAGCTTCTACACTATTGCACAAGGCTGTTATCTCAGTTCCTTCATTCTTCCCCACAACTAAAACAAAACTTTAGTTCATGCATCTTCATTTGTGCATATTTATCCTTTACCTCCTTCTATAACTACAGGTATTATTGCTATACAATTACAACTGTAAACCCCTCAGTGCAGAGGCTTGTCTTTTTCTCATAAAACACACTTTTGGCAATAAATATGAATAATATTTCAGGTATAAATAACTTCCATTCCATTTGGAAACAAGGACCAGAGGAAAAACTTTCTTAATCTCTTAAAGTTTATGGGAGGAAATTATGGAGCATTTACACTTCAATTGTATTTGGCAGATACATTGAACAAACCAACATGTTTTGCCCAAAAGTTGGGAAATGCCTAAGTGATTCCCAACTGTCTGAAAAAATATTGTATTTTAGAAAAACCCGGTGCTCCAAGCTTGTAGACGATGTAACATCTCTGGTCAGTATATAGATCCCATCATTGTGTAGTGTGCAAGTCAAATTAAGGCCAGATTTTGACGTGTTTTCTTTGAGGTAGAGCCATTCTCTAGTGGCAGTGTTGTAAGACTGCACTGTTAACATGTCCTCATTCTGGCTAGATTTTTTGTTCTTGCTCAGTTCATGGATGCAGCCTCCAACTATGTAGATGGTTTCCTCCACAGACAGCATTTGCTGTTTGCGGATGTGGATGTCACACAATTCAAAGTTAGTCCAGTTGTCAGAGGTGGGACAGTACTGCAAGATATTCAAGTTGCGGTCTGCAATAAAGAGAAGAATTTTAATGCAAAAAACTAAATTTTGTTTCCTTGTACATTGAACAGTGGAGTACCTACTTCTACTATAGTTTCTTGAATAAAAGTTCTGATTTCCAGTCAAAATACTCTTTCCTTTTAAAAATATGAGGAAAGCTTGCCTTCTGCCATCTGAAAAGTAAGCTATTATTGAATGGCAATTATTCTAAAACATAGTAAATATTCCCAAATTAGACTGAGATCTACCTCAAATGTATTCCAGGTACTTGCTTGATAAACCTGAGATATGTGGTATTGATTGCATATTCAGTCACTAGCACAGTGAATATAGGCATGCATTTTCTACTTCAGATATTTTGTACTGAATCATACAGGAATCTACAGAAAGAAAAATTACTTGCATCATTTATTGGCTGGAAAGTAACTTGATACATACATTAGACTATGGACTGTTTTGGTTCATAAGAAACTGTAATATAGATGTGTGACATATTTAGTTTGTACACACTTAACATAGAAAGTATTATTATCTTCTTTACAGAGCCTCCAACTGGGTCAGTTCAAAGCTGAGGAATGAATCCAAGTTGTATGTTGCCACCTGCTCTTCTAAAAGTGTTCTTTTTAAAGGACACAGTCCAGCATATGGATAGGAAAGGCAAGTTTTCATCCAACATCCAGCAGTTGACAATAGAAGGCTTTCTCTTTTATTATACTTGGGTTGTATGCACTTATCCATATATGCTTATATTGGCCTTAGAAGGTTTTTGGCCAATTTAGAAGCACATTATAAAACATGCAAATTTTGGAAAAAAAACCCAAAAATAAAATAGAAGCTTTTTTTGGAAGGTCACAAACACATAACAGACAAATCGGTCAGCATAAGTAGAAAACTACAAATATCTTGGTGTATAGTTCACTGTCTCATGCTTTTGGACACCCTGTGTGAAAAACAAGCTTAAAGCCAAACATTGTGTTCAGACTTAGCTATTGGGATGTGTAGGCATCTGGAACTGCAGCCTCCACGGTGCCTTTGAAACCCAGAATTCAGTCAAGCCCTCACATTTCGTCTTCCCACTAGTTAAACAGTTGGAGACTTTTTCATACTCTCCTCTAGTTATTATGTAAAAATAATGGTGAGCAGAAGGCATTGCCAAGCTACTTTCTCAAGAAAAAGTTTATTACTTGAATGTTTCTACAAATTGGCAAAGAAAGCTCTGCCTAAGGATGCTTGAGTTAAAGGATACTTCATATTTAAAGTACCTTTTAAATGTGCTGCTATAGTGAGCCCTTCAACTTTTCAGGCCCAAGGCTCAATTTCAACTCAAAACTTAACCAACTCTTCTCTTCCTCAGGTGACCAAATATGAGGTGGAGGCAAAATTTGAAGGTGCATGTTGTCAAGTCAGAATTGTGTCTGCTAAACTTTCATTTTTCTTTCTCTTTTTTTTCTGGCAACTCTTGAAAGTAAAGGAACACCATTTTCCTTTAAATCAAGCCACCCTGTTCTTCCCCACCTTCCACTTCTGAAAATCAATTTCTCTGAATGAACTGGCCGAATTAATTTCTACCACCTGAGATCTGTTTGTATTATCTCCCTTTCATAGTGAGGGCATACTGGCTGAAAATCAGACAGGTTGAGGGCATGAGACCATAAGCTGACATTAGAATCCCAACATTCCTGACTATTGGCCATGATGGTTCTGGAACTAAGTCCAAAACATGTGGATGTCAACAGGTTGGGGAATATCTGCCATAAGAGAATGTGCATCTTTCTTTTGTATGCATCTTCATACATACAAATGTTAAAAATAAAAAACAAGCTTGTTAGCTCAGATCAACAGATTTCAACCTGGCAGTAAGATAAATTAATTATCTTATAATTAAATGACCTGTCAAATTCAGAATCAAGGAGGTCAAGAGGTAGATTTTTACGTCTTTCCAATGTAATTATAATTGGTGAACCCTGTTTACCATAATAATATTGATAATGCAGCAATTCTGAGATAAAGAGAAATCAAAGAAATCTCTTAAAATACAGTGCTTTCCTTCAGTTGAACATGCCTAAGAGCATGAACATAAATTTAAAGGAAAAGGAAAAGAGAAGATTCTTCCCTAGCTACCTGCCTTACCTCTTGTAGTGTAGCCTCCCATGACATAAATCTTGCCCTTACACTCACATGCTGAGAATTCTGCCAGGGGGGTTGGTAAAGAAGTTACAAAGTTCCACCAGTCATGTTCTGGATTGTAACACTCAACATTGGAGAGGGACTGCCCACCAATGGCATACAGTTTTCCACTGACTGCCAACAGCTTGAAATTAGACCTATAGATAAACAATTTAGAGAGTTACAGTTAAGATCAAATAAAAATCTCCATCAAGACATTGCATCTCAACTAAAGACACCAGTCACTATAATCTTGAAATAGTCCGTAAGTCAGACGTCATCTGAAATTCCATACATACCATACTTCAGGGCTTATGATAGCTTCAGGGGGAGCTATTCTAGAGAAGTGAAAATAGTGAGGTCTACTGGCATTTCTTTTCTGTCTTCTTTACTAAATTTGGCAGAAGTAAAGAAAATTTGATTATGGGGAGAATTTTAAATAATTCTGTGGAGAAAGAAACAATGTATGAAGCTAAGAACAAAGTTATGTCCTAAAGGCAGGGACTTGGATGCTACAAGAAATACCTGGGTAGCTGTGAGAAGCCTCACAAACTTGAGGATAAAACAGCAGGAAAAGCATTGGAGCAATATTATCCAAGGTTTTTGATGTCTATCTACTAAGAATAATTCACAGAGAATGGGCTTGAACAGGATGTTATGTATGTCCTGGTAGGATGGGGTGCATAATTGGAATGCAAGTTTAACAATATCACAGAATTCTTTTTTATAAAGAAAATATTTAGCATAAAAGGAGAGAGAATGATATTATATGGTATCATTATACTGTATAGTATTATAATTATATAACAATTAAATGCTATATATCATATATATCATACAGAGGCTCCATTAGGAGTAGGGGGTGGCATATACACATTTCTATAGGTGCCTGTTTCTATAGGTGCCTGAGGGCCGATAGAGCTCTCCAGGCCCCCCAGGAGCAGCCCCCCTCTGCAAAGAGGGTTGAGGGAGAGACCACGGGAGGAGCAGCCACGGAGACATGGAGGCATGTCACCCACAGGAGGAGGAGGCCAGCACGGCCTCCTCCTTCTCCTGGCACCAATCTGGAGCTGGGAAACAGGTTCTCTCTGCTTGAGGAGGCTGGGGCTGATGAGGCCTCGGGGGACCAGCAGGACCCCCAGCCTGGGACGACAGGTGGCAAGGGGGCCGCTGCAGGAGAGGCGAGGGCCAGGGCACGGCCACCCACCAGCACCAAGGCAGTGAACATGGTATTCCTGTGAAGGGCACCTATATAAAAACAAATGTCACCCAAAATAAAAACGGCAATGAGGTTGGATCTACTCTAGACTGTCACATGAAAGAGATGATTTTTTTTGTTTGTTTGTTTGTTTGTTTTCAAGGAAGCAAACAAATTACATATGTTCCAGAGAAACAATTAACAATGAAGTAGCACTATCTTAATACCTGTCAAGAGCCCAGTTCCATTAAGTATGGACTCTCCAACAAATTCCCAACATGCCTAACTGAAAACATCCTCTTTCAGGAGATGGGGGAAAGAAACAAGGTGATCAGCTATCCCTGACTTGCTCTGAACCAATGGAGAAGAAGAGTTGCTCAATGAGATTAAAGTAGTGGGAACTTTGGAGGAAAATGGCCCTGTATGGTGGAATTTTTACAAGTTTTTAGAAAGCTAATGGTGAGTGTAGGCAAACATGTGCCTTGTATTTCAGGAAAGCTGATTTTTAAAAAGCTCAGGAAATGCCCAGTAGGAATCCATGGTTTGATATATTAATGGGGAAGGTGCCCAAGATGGTAGAGAGTTCTTCAAGAAAGAATTTCTCAAGGTGCATTCACAAACCATTTTGATGAAAATAGAGAAAAAAGGAAGAAAATGCTTAGTGAAGAGCTTTTTTTCTTTTCTTTTTTTTCAAAATAACATATGAAAAATGGAACTTTCTAGGTATCACTCTGTAAGTATCTTGGTAACAACGTAGCAATTAGTACAAGGCAGCATGGGCTTGTCACTATGAAGTCTTTCAGGCTTCCCCATGGCTGTTTTTCCTATAACAAGAACCATAATTACCCTACATGTCTGTTCAGGTATCTTTCACTGCCCTGCTCACTGAGAAAACATCAGATAAGAGTTTGTAATAATTATTTATTTGTACCACAGTATCTGTTTCAGAAAAAGAACGGTTCTTTCTAGACACAGTTTTTTTTAACAGTAGTACAATTTGGAATAGCAGAATGCTTATTTGAGAAAGCAAGAAAAAGTCAATGGACTTTGCTGACATTTGCAATTGGGTCATTCTGTACATCTCCACCCTCCAATAATATTTTCACTCTGAAAGCATCTGAGCTAACGTTGTAACAACATGCGAGCAAATACCAATTAACATTTCAATAAACTGACTGAAAGAAGCACAGGTACCTGCCTTAAAAATTGACATAAAATGCATAGATGAGACTAGCACTGTATGAAGTTGGTGGCGAATCTATGATCAAAGAAAACATAATTAAGAATGTAGCTTATGAATGTACTGTTATGTAGAATAAATTCTACACTATCTTCATTTTCTCCACCTGCATTATCACTGGTTCCTCTGTATTAGAGCCACAAACACAGACTGGTAGCCATAGGCAACAAGGATTTACCTGCAGCTGAGTAAATAGGTTCCCAAAAGAGAGAAGCTTTACTCTCCATGTTCTGCAGCAGGCTGCTGCAAGAGGGACCAAGCTTTCCACGTTTTCTCTGCCAGCCTGCAACATGTGAGTAACCCTCACAGGCTTGTTTACAAGACTGCCAAAATACACTGTCTCCTTCAATCAGTTGTAAAATCAATTGTAAAACATCGAAGGTTATAACTATTAAGACAGACCTACACATGTTTTATGGGTAAAGAGAGGCTAGGTTCATATGTATGTTTAAATAACTGGCTGGTTCCGTATGATGAATGACAGATGAATGCACTGGTGAATAGCATTTGTGCTTAAGATGATGTGAAAGCTCTATTTGTATCATGATCTGAGGGCATATGAAGTGGCTGCCTTGCTCAGTCTAAGCAGGACTGAATCTAGTCAATGCCTGGATGTGAACTCTTCATTCTTGAGTTCCATCATGGAAAAAGAGTAGATCTCATCATAATACATAAAAGATACTTTTATCTGTATATTTTATAAATACACATTCTCACATCAAAGAAATTGCATGTTAGTCATCAAACATCTTGCTTATTTGATTTATACTTGGTTTAAACACATTTTATATATTCAACAAATACTTCTATACCACTTGTCATAAACTCTGTCATCCAAGCAGTCTACATTGTCAAGACAGACAATGAAGGGAGTAGCAGCTCATCACCTACCTTTTCTGGCACAGCATCATGTAAAGTAATGGATGCTGCATAAGTAATAAGCCAGTTTCCTTGGATTTTGTAAATATTTGGGCTAATGAATTTCTTATCGAAGCAGAAAAAATTATAGCCACTCTGCATTCCATAATAAAGTGTACTGAATCTGAAAAGCCCAATGCACTGTTGAAATAAACCTTGTATAAACTAATTAGGGAGCAACTTGCAAATCAGAACGCTACTGGTGTTAATTAAAAAATGTAATTAAGTGGAAATCCTCCCCTTATAACTTTGATTCTAAATGCACACCATTTTATACTAAACAGGCCCCTTCCATGTTGAATCTGAATTATTTGTTTTTTCCAGATTGCACGTAATTGGCTTGAGTCATATGTCCCAAATTCCTTTTTCTTGCTCTACCAGCAGTATTCAGTGGCTGAAATGTGCTTTATGAGACTAGGTTGTATGGACAAAGAATCCATAGGAAACTTCAAGAATATCACAGTACAAGGCCTTTGCTCCTCCTAGGCCTCCCAGGAACTTCATATCTGGCTTAGAATTAGAGTTGCATCAGGCCTTATAAGCCATTTGGTCCATCCTCCTGTTTGGTGCAAAAACTCCAGAGCTAGAGTATATCCAACAAACTGTTGCTCAGCTCCTGCTAAAAATGTCCAGCATGAGAGAACTCATCACACCCGTAAGTAATTGGTTTCCATATCAAAGTACTCTTACAATCAAGATGTTTCTTTTAATTCTACAGTTCTAGCTTTCTGTAACTTTAACTAGTTGTCTGGAACAGCAAAGAAAAAGTATTGGTACTGTTTAGGTATCTGAAGAACACCATCGCATCCCTGCTCAATCTTTTCTTCTAAGAGCATGGTCATTTCTACCTTTCTACAAGATAAGTTAAATTAACATTTATATACTGCTTGAAAGGCAGTACACAATAATCAGATGGCAATATACTGCCATCAAGGCAGGATACAATGATTTAAAACAATAAAACCTTGAGACAATAAAAGCAAGAATATAAGAAACAGTAAGCATTGAACCATTTAAAATGACATATTTTATTTATGTATTTATTTATTTAAAGCTTTTATACCCTGTCCAACTACTAGCATCTCAGGACTGCGATATTTTAAAAGAATAAAGTGTAAAGATGGGTCCTTATATTCTTTCCAAAGGCCAAGAGCATGCAGACCAATTGTAGGTCTTGAGTGAGTTTATTCCATGGTTTGGAGGAAACACAAGGGAAAGTGCTTTCACATGGGCCTGGTAAATGCACCATGGGGGGTGGGTAACAGTGCTTCAGAAGAGCCTCTCATTTTTCACATGCATTGCCATCTTTGCTGCCCTCATCCCAATACCTAATTTCTTCCCCTGATGTTACATTCTACTTAATATGTAACACCCAGAACTAGACGCATTACTCTAGATGAGTTCCAGCTGGTTCATGAAGTACAATTGTCATTTATTGTGACTTGGAAACAGTGGTTCTATTGAGGCAGGCTAAAACTGCATTAGCCTTTTTTTGCAACCACATTATACTGCTGACTCATGTTCAGCTTGTGATCCACTGAAAGCATGAGGTCCTCTACAAAACCTGCACAATTGACGAACCAGGTACCCATGCCTCCTATAGTGTTGCATATGATCCTTTTTTTTTTGCCTAAATACAGAACTTTGCATTGCATTGCCCCTGTTCAATTTTGCTTCATAATTTTGCGTACAGTGGTCCAGTTTTCCATCCTACCAAGGTCCCTTTGAATTATGTATTTCTTTCTGAGAGATCCCTTCCAGTTTTCTGTCATCTTCAAATCTGATGAGGATTCCCTCCAGTCTTTCATCTATGCTAGTGATACATATTTTGAAGCCCTGTGGCACCCAATGGAAGCACCACTGATGAGTGTTTGTTGTTATTCTCTGGCCCATATTTACAAAAACTATTGTGTCTTTCCTACAAACACTCTTGAAAATGACTGTTCATTGCAAGCTTCAAAGGAAGAGTTATTTCTATCACGTTTACATATACTGTGTGATTTTTGAGGTCTGTTTTGTGTACAGAAGCCCTTATTGCCTGCACACTAGTTACACAAATTTACCAGGAAATATACCTTACGTGATTTCAAGGATTTACCTTTTCTGGTTCATTGAAGCCATCTGACTCCACTCATTCAGACAGGGATTGTAGCAGTGGGCAGCTGCTATTTCCTGGCTAGTAATGCGATAGCCCCCAACAAGGAACAAGTAGTTATCCAACACTGCTGACCCATAACCTCGCACATTGACTAAGTCTGAAGGCAGGTTGTTTGGCAGCGGCAGCCACCTCTGGAGTACTTCATTGTACCTCAGCATGGAGCAGGGTGAGTCTTCCGGGGAGAACCAACCCAGGGATGAGGGTCCTACAAAGTTGCCAATGGCCACCAGGGCAGCAGTGCCTTTCATGCGCCTTTCTAGCAGCTGCTGCCTCAGGACATAGGGCAGGAGGAGTTGAGGCTGGGCCTCTGGCCTGCGAAGCACCTGGTAGTAGTTGTCAGCCATGAAGTTGAGGCAAGCATCCTGCAGGTCCTGGAGGCCATAGATCTGGGCCAGGTTGTGGAGCTCCAGGCAGTTAGCCAGCCTGACCTGGGAAAGGAGGAGGTGCAGCAGGGGAGTGACCTGCAAATAGGAAGCCGCTTCGATCAGTTCCTCCAGCACTGGGGGCTCTTCCTCTCGCTCCAGCCTAGCCAGGCAGGAGGTGTTGATGAAATCCAGCACCAGCTCCAAGCCCAGTGCGCTGAGCCCTCCGCGCAGCTGCTGCACCTCCGGGCCTTGCCCAGCTGCTTCTCGCATCCCGGAACGGTACAGAGCGCGGAAGTAGTCGCTCTGCTCGATCAGCTTCTTCTTACCTACCGCGAAGCACCTGTCACCCAGCCGGATCTGCACCACCTCCTCCTCCTCCTCCTCCTCCGCCGCCGCCGCCGCCGCTTCCTCCGAACAGCCATGGTCCTCTTGCGCGAGGTGCTGTGCATGGGACATCACCCCCTGCCCACATCCGCGCCCCCCCCTCCGCCGCCGCCGCCGCCGCTGCTGCTGAGCGAGTCCCGCCCCTCCTCCTCTACTTCCTCCTTTCCGTCCATTCCCCACCCACTGCCGACTAGAGAGAGAACGAAGCGGCGGGAGGGAGGAGGGAAGGAGGGGGAACGGGCTTGGAGCGTGGCCGGCTGCGCTTCCTTCTTCTCCACGCCGGGAAAAAAGCCCTAAAAAGGCAAGGTTGAAGTGCGAAGTGCATGCCGCGGCGGCCCCCTGCCCGCCTCTCCCCCCCCCCGCCGGGTTCTCCCAGCTCTCTTACTGGAAAGCTCTCTTGGCGACAGCGGCCTGCCGACGCATTAGTGCGTTGCGGAGACTCCCAAGATTTGAAGAGTTATCCTCGTTGAGCTGTTCAGTAGCAGAATAGGCGCATGGATTTGGCTTAGTTATGTTTTTCAAAATGCTGTTACAGCACCCGTGGTTCCCTGGTGCTTGAAAGATGGGTTATACACGGTAGAAAAGAACAGATGCTTACGTTACGATATTTAAAACTTTTGTATGCCGTCTCCCATGCAAGGCATCTCGGGACGGCTCACAGTCCAAACGTTTATAACTGATCTATAACAGACCTTGATAACTGGCAGTATTTGAATGTGTAAAGCAGTCTAGTAATGCACGTGTGAAGGGGCTCAGAGACTAATAAAAGCAGCCTGCCAGCTATACCTGAGAGGTTCGGCTCCTCCTGGGTCATTCAGTAGCATACTTAGTTCTGAAAGGCTTGTGAGCACTACACATGTTGTAAGTGCAATACTGACCTAATATGGGCAAGCTAATAGCATTTAATTTTGTTATGTTGTTATCTCTCTACAGTAAACTAAAATCCCTAACAGAATGTTATTACAGAGGCTGACTGGCAATTCTCTATTCCTCAATAAATGTGAGGCCTTACCCCTATGAAAAAGAATGTGCCTAAAGTGAATTCAGGGAGACAGCACCTCTAACTAGGAATTGGAAAAAGAAACAAAGCTCAATGTAGAGCTTGAGAAACCATGAGCTCACCCCTGACAATATTTACTATCCCCAAATGTTCTTTTTCTCACCCAACATCAAGGTTTTTCTGTGCAAGAGCTCATGCATTTTTTGCATACAGACACCAAAAGAAAGAAAACCTGCTCTTATGTAGAATCCACTGTGGCTCTATGATGTATACTCATGTGTTCAAACCAATATCTAAAAACCACTCTGTTAGACTTGTGGTTGGCCACATTCTCCCCCAGAATTGTTACTATATGTATGTATACATGTGAGTGTGTACATACATATCCATGAATACAAGTCTGTGAGGCCTTGAGTATTCTCCAACCTGAGCCCAAATACTTGCATCGGGTATGGACAATCTTTTTGCTTCTGAGAACTGCATGCAGGGACTGGCAGACTGCACATATGGCCATATACAAGCACAACTGGGAACTCCATGAAGACCCCTTCATCTACTAGTAAAGCACAAACAATTGCTCTTTTTTATTGGATTGACATTTAATAGCAGCACCACTAGGTGAGGTTCTCAGCACAGCCCAAAATCTGTCAGATGAGGGAAAAACTTGAAGAGGGAACAGTTCATATTTTTCTTACTGCCCTTACTATGTATGTATTTTCTAAGAAACCAGTAGATCTGTCAGACACTTTATATTGCAACATATTATCTGATCATTGAAATAATCATACAGAAACATAGTACATTTCTTTCATAAAGTTCAAAATCATTTGTTTGAACTCTGCATCTCTTATAGAATGAGAATGAGAGGAAAGTTGTAATGCAGTGTAAAAGGCAATACAGTACTTGATATTTGCCAACTTAAATGATTAAAAGGCAAATCATTCTTAAAACTTGTTGGCAGCCCAATTTGACTTGCATTTCACAGGGCGCAGTATGTGCTTTGCTTTAGTAGATATTTGAGAAAACAAGTCATAAATAAGTTTTTGTTACAGAATTCTTGACCTACCAGTTCCTTGCTCTTTATCTCTTGCTATTAATGTTGAAAAGGATTGCAGGTGCCTGTTCTCAGGTATTTCTAGGAGGTTAATGCCAAGCCAGCTTCTTTTCATGGAAGGTATTTTCCATGGATCAAGGAGCTCCGCAGTCATCAGGGCACAGAAAGGAAGCATGTGTTCTCCAGTCATGGTGACACTCAATCCACTTAGTGTAGCAGGCAAAAGGCCCCAGAGTGGCATTTGTTTATGCCTGCCTCAGGTGAAGAGGGCTCCCTCAGAGTCTCAACTCAGGGTCAGGTGAGCAGAAAACTTCCTCTGTATGGCTCATTCCTTTAGAGTCAGGTGCTTGTGAAAGCTTTTTGTTCTGTAAAGCACAGAATGGTGTTTTATTGCATAAGATGGCTCTCTCTGCACTCTCAGTATTATGTCCTTGTGTTGCCAGGGTGGATTGCACTTCACAGCCTAATCTTAGTCAAAATCACTTGCTTGATCAGACCAGACCAGACCAGACCAGTACACTGTTTCAAACATTGGTCAGCCAGATGCTGCTCACAAACAGCATGAAGGCAATTGTCTGCCTACTGCTTGCTTCAACTCCATCACCTGCTATTACTACTACTACTACTACTACTACTACTACTACTACTACTACTACTACATTTGCTGCTAGTCTACATGGAGGTTTTTTTCTTATTACTTAGCATTTATGTAATCTTTGATTTTTAGATGTAATTTTATTATGACAATACTGAAATAGCTATTCAGTAGTTCAAATATTTCCATTATTATTCACCAGGGGTTTATTTCCCTACCAAACATCCAGTTATTTTGTTGAAAATACAGATTTTAAAAAAATAAATCCTGCTTAAAAATAAATTCATGGTAACTATACCTTTTGTTTCATTTTGCTAACCACAGGTTTACCATGTATAATGTAGTCTGTCAACCAGTTTTTAACAGATTGTGTTTCCCCATCTATGTACTAGCTCAGTTGGAAATGTGGTAATTTCCAAGCAATTCATAAGTTTACAATAAATACCAATTATGTAGCACATTTGTTGTATAATCACTTTAATTTCCCAGTAAGCTGGTCACAGCAATTTTATACATGCCAATTACAGCAGGGGAAAGGATACATCACCACCATAGCAGTGCACATTATATCCACCATATCCTGAACCCAAAAAGGCAGAAGAAAAGCATGCGGGGGAACAAAGGCCTCAGCCACACCAACAGCACCCGTGGCAGCTCCTCCAGTAGCTCACAATGTTGCAGGGAAATTGTCAAGATGTCACAGAGTGATCCCTCATGTCAGCCAGACACAGGAGGTGGTAGGGGATGCCTCCACATGTTCTTGCCACAACACACAATCTGGCAGATACCATGATGCCACATCTTCCATCACAACCTCCATTGTGCTACAGGGAGAAAGATGCCAGCAATCATGAGCTCCAGGCTTCCCAGCACACAAAGGCATGGCTTTCCTTATACCTCACACTGTTTAGAAGAATCATTTTTGATGACAATATATGGAAGGCAGGCAGGCAGGCAAGCAGGCAGGAGAGGCCATATAATGGCCCTCAAAGAGTTGCCTTGACAACAGAAAAAGCTTATGCTCATGTGAAGTGGGGGTTTCTGTGTGTGCACCTCCTTGGAACAAGTGTTTAAAAACCCCTGAGGAAGAAAAAACTCCTCAGTTGTGCTGTTTGAGAGAGGGTGGGCTGTAGACAGACAACAAGGGCACTCAGAGGTGACAGCAACCTTCAAAGGGGCACCAAGCAGGGCACGAGGGAAGGAAAGTAGAGTTACCAGTTCAAGCTCCATCATGGAAAATGGAGGGAATATAGCCCCAGTCAACTTTTGTACAGATAACCGACAACAGCCTGGTGAAGGACAAAAGATGAACTATTCCCATGACTTGATCTCACACTCCAAACCTCATAGAACAAGTCCTTTGGGCTCAGCCAGAGCAGCAGACAGGAAAGGGAGATCTCCTGGGACATTCGTCTCCTCCCAGCTGCTGTAGGTGTGAGGATTGCATCACTTGCTCCAGAATCAAAGGAGGTTACTGGAGGAAACTGGTAAAAGGTAAAACAGCCTGGTAAAAGGTGAAACAGCCTGGTAAAACAGTTCAGGCTTACATGCAGGAGGTCATAGGTTCAAATTCAGGGTATAATGCCACATTAAAAGAAAAGACTCTTGCACTCAGACATATCTTAAACTATCGGGGAGGAGTGTATGGGCTGGTGGCCCTTCTGTCCATCTCCTTCTGCCTGGCAACGCATGTGATGCAAGGCTTCTTGTGCCCTGCCAGATAGCATCTCAACTGGCCTCATTGTCCATCTGCCTGCCCCGCATGCCTACAAACTGCCTCATACACCATGTACTGGGAACATGAAAGATGGCTGCTTTGGGTGCCCTTTCTCAAGGACTGCTGACTGGACTTCAAAGGAATCAGAATTGAATGTGCAGCAGAACTCCCCAGGTGGGCAGGCAGTCTCTGGGGATAACCAAAATGTACAGTTTGTGGGCGGTGACTCAGAGCAGGAGAATTTCTCAGACTCTTGTGAGGTGGGCACAGCTCTTGACTGCATGGAACATTGCCAGCAGAGGTGGGTGGCCCAACAGAGAGGAGGTGTGTTCCATTTCAAAAGGCCCCTCCCAAAGGGATGAGGCCCAGGCATGCTCATAAGGTGTGCTCCTGGAGCTGAATTGGTTTCAACAAACCACTCTGTGCATGCTCAGAGATTCACATGTTTTGTGCTTTTTGGCCAATAAAGAATGCTTTGCAAGGAAAAAGGTGGCTCTTGAATGCACGAAGGAGTACCCCTGTCTCATGACACCATGGCTACAGCATTATTATTATTATTATTATTATTATTATTATTATTATTATTATTATTATAACACTTCTATGCCGCCCCTTGCCGAAACCTCGGGGCGGCTTACAACACAATAAAATACATTGAAATACAATAGAACATAATAAATTACCATTAAATACAAAAATACACTGAGTTACAAATATAAAATTATCAGTATAAAATAAGTAAATAAAAATAAAGCATCCATTCTACACTGCTTGTATCCCCCAGCAGGCCTGCCTTCTATCATATAC